GTGTGTGTGTTGTGTGTGTGTGTGGAATCTGTTGATGCATTCTGATATGATTTAGCATGTTTGGTGTGTGTTACCATTAGCATACCGCATCGCTGTGGAACAACGCCGACACACCGTCCCACTGCCCTGAATGACAGACTTTTTTCCCACTCGACTCGTAAAAAAAAGGCGTATTCGTCGTGTGACTGCATGTTCCGAACCGTGACGTCCGAACCGTGACGGTACGGGACGAATACGGATACCGTTACACCCCTAGTTTTGTGTGTGTTTTGTGTGTTTTGTGTGTTTTGTGTGTTTCGTGTGTGTTGTGTGTGTTGTGTGTGTTTGTGTGTGTTTCGTGTGTGTTGGTGTGTGTGTTTGTGTGTGTGTTGTGTGTGTTGTGTGTGTTTCGTGTGTGTTGTGTGTGTTTTGTGTGTGTTTTGTGTGTGTTGTGTGTGTTGTGTGTGTTTCGTGTGTGTTGTGTGTGTTGTTTGTGTTTTGTGTGTGTTGTGTGTGTTTCGTGTGTGTTGTGTGTGTGTTGTGTATGTTGTGTGTGTGTTGTGTGTGTTGTGTCTGTTTTGTGTGTGTTGTGTGTGTGTTGTGTGTGTTTCGTGTGTGTTGTGTGTGTGTTGTGTGTGTTTCGTGTGTGTTGTGTGTGTTGTGTGTGTTTCGTGTGTGTTGTGTGTGTTGTGTGTGTGTTGTGTGTGTTGTGTGTGTTTTGTGTGTGTTTTGTGTGTGTTGTGTGTGTTTCGTGTGTGTTGTGTGTGTTTTGTGTGTTTTGTGTGTGTTGTGTGTGTTTTGTGTTGAAATGCACACTTGAGGGGCGTGACTCACTGAGACCTGAGTTACGCCTGGAGTTGAGCAGATCTGAGATTTTAAAATCTCTCAGATTGTGTTTTGTGTGTTGTGTGTGTGTTGTGTGTGTTGTGTGTGTGTTGTGTGTGTGTTGTGTGTGTTGTGTGTGTTTCGTGTGTGTTGTGTGTGTTTCGTGTGTGTTGTGTGTGTTGTGTGTGTTGTGTGTGTTTTGTGTGTGTTGTGTGTGTTTCGTGTGTGTTGTGTGTGTTGTGTGTGTTTCGTGTGTGTTGTGTGTGTTGTGTGTGTTTCGTGTGTGTTGTGTGTGTTTGTGTGTGTTTTGTGTGTGTTGTGTGTGTTGTGTGTGTGTTGTGTGTGTTGTGTGTGTTTTGTGTGTGTTGTGTGTGTTTTGTGTGTGTTGTGTGTGTTTTGTGTGTGTTGTGTGTGTTTGTGTGTTTTGTGTGTGTTGTGTGTGTTTCGTGTGTGTTGTGTGTGTTTCGTGTGTGTTGTGTGTGTGTTGTGTGTGTTGTGTGTGTTTTGTGTGTGTTTTGTGTGTGTTGTGTGTGTTTCGTGTGTTTCGTGTGTGTGTTGTGTGTGTTTGTGTGTGTTTTGTGTGTGTTGTGTGTGTTTTGTGTGTGTTGTGTGTGTTTCGTGTGTTTCGTGTGTGTGTTGTGTGTGTGTTGTGTGTGTGTTGTGTGTGTGTTGTGTGTGTGTTGTGTGTGTTGTGTGTTGTGTGTGTGTTGTGTGTGTTGTGTGTGTGTTGTGTGTGTGTTGTGTGTGTGTTGTGTGTGTTTTGTGTGTATATTTTCATGGTTGTCGCTCACTTTGCGAGCAGGGGCTGTTCTTTCTCCTTTGTGTTTCCTGTTCAAAGTTTAGAGTTTTAAATACAGTTATTTAAATGCTTTCAAAAACCAGAGGCGTTTTTCTTGTTGTTAAAACCTGCTGCCTACATTACCCACAATGCACCGGCATCTGTGTGTTTTTCCAGGGATCATGGGAGGGGACCTGAACGCCTCCCTGTGGCTCCGCCCCTGCGTGAACGCCTCCTCCTATCATCCAATCAGAGCGTCCTCCTGGCCCTACAGCACCGTCCAGCTGGTCCTCATCGCCGTGGCGACAGCCTCCCTGAGCGTCGTCACGGTGACGGGCAACGCGCTGGTCATCCTGTCGGTGAAGGTGAACCCTCGCCTGCGCAGCGTCAACAACTACTTCCTGTTGAGCCTGGCGGTGGCCGACCTGCTGGTGGGGCTGCTGTCCGTCAGCCTGTTCTCTCTGTACGGTGCTCAGCTATTATACATGTTCTGTTGGAGGAGCCATTTCTACGCTGAAGCTTAAGGATTCAAGGCTTTTGTTATCATTTGTGTCCATAGCTACGTGCTGATCGGCCGCTGGCCGCTGGGCCCCGCCTCCTGCGACCTCTTCCTGGTCCTGGACCACGGGGTGGGCGGCTCCTCGGTGCTCCACCTGCTGCTCATCAGCCTGGACCGCTTCCTGTGCGTGTGGCTGCCGCTCAGCTACCCGCGGCGCCGCAGTGCTAACGCAGCGAGGCTCATGATTGGCTGTGCCTGGCTCCTCCCCTTCCTGCTCTGGACCCCCTCCATCCTGAGCTGGCAGAGCAGCGGGGGGGAACGTCTGGTCCCGGACGGAGAGTGCTTCCTGCAGCTGATCTCCAGCCCCACCGCCACGCTCGCCACCACGCTGCCCTCCTTCTTCCTGCCTGCCCTCACCATGGTGGCTCTCTACAGGTGAGAGAGAGACACACACACACACACACACACACACACACACACACACACACACACACACACACACACACACACACACACACACACACACACACACACAACAGAGACACAGACACCTTACCTCACCTTACCTTACCTCACCTCCTCTCCTCGTACAGCCGTCTCTCGGTGGCGAGTCGTGGCAGATTGAGCGTTCGCCCGGCGACCTCCAGCCCCTCGATCAAGGATTTCCTGTTGAAGCGGCGCCGCAGCGTGGTGAGCAGAGAGCCCGCCTCCGACGTGTCTCTGAACCAATCAGAAAGCAGCACGCCCAAGTATGGGAGTAGCAGGAAGACGTCCAGGAGTCCTGCGGCGGACACTCGTATCAAAGACTCCAACAAGATTGAGACAGACTCTTCGTCCAACGCAGACGCCAACAAGACGACGTTCTCCACCTTCAGCAGCTTCAGGTCTGTGGGGGGAAAGTCACTGAGACAAACCTGCACAGAGGGAACAAGTACACACATCCTTTACTCAAGCAGAAGTACAGATACTCCTAGGGATGGGTACCGAGCCCCGGTATTAAACGGGCCCCGGGGCTGAATTATTAAAGACCGTGTTGCCATTAAGCTCTGACGTTAGCGGTCTTTTTATCGGTACTGGACAGTGGCCAG